ACGGGTTTGGCCGTGCTGCTCACATCCTGCTGAATTATACCCCCGGGTATAAGAAATTTTCACAGCTTCCTCAGCCTTTTGAGCCTTCGCGGTGGTCTGAACTCTTCGATCAGGCGGCGAGGCTAAAGGTTGAGAAAAACTTGGAGGAAGACCCGGATCGGGCTTCGGAGGCAGAGGTAGAGGGAGTTGCTGAAGAGCTCGGGGGTCAGAGAGGACGTTGTTCCTTCGGACGCCGAGGTGGGGACTTCGGGAGGAAACTTGTGGCCAGACTTCCAAGTCCTACAATCTTTAGACGCCGAGGACGCCCTCGAGGTAGCGATGTCCAGCACCCCTCGTATTGATCTGGGTTTCCTGAGGCAGAGGCAAGCCCTCGCAGCCGGGAGGAGTCGAGGATCGACCGGTGGCACCCCCTCTGCAGGGACCAGTTCCACCCCATCCTCAAGGGTTCTCGGTCGGGNCGCCTCGTATTGACCTGGGATTCCTGAGGCAGAGGCAAGCTCTTGCTGCCGGGAGGAGACGAGGATCGATCGGCGACGCCCCATCTGCTAGGACCAGTTCCACCCCATCCTCAAGGGTTCTCAGTCGGGGTCAAGTGCGTGATCGGGATCCTTAGATAGAGGAGGAGAGAAGGGTCAAACATAGGCACGATGGCCTCGGCAGGAGATCCAGGGCATCTTCCGCTCAGCAACAAAGCGGGAGAGGCTGTGGGTTACCCCCTGCTCCTCCGCAGCAACAGCAACAGCAACAGCAACGACAACAGCAACAACAACAACGGCAGCAGCAGACTCCCCATTCCCCTCCGCCGACAGTGGACGCCGCAGAGTGGAACCCCCGAGCCACCGATCACATGAACCGAGTGATCAGGGTCGATGACTCCATTTTGCTGGACCCTCATGTCGCCAATGCAGTGAGTGAGACACTGCATTTCGAGGCCGACATGGCAGCTCACAGGGGGCGATCAACGAACGTGCTGTTCCGCTCTATCATCCAGAATTCCCTGGTGGTAAGTTCATTTTTGCTTTGGTTTCTTCTCTCTCGCTTTCTATTTTTGTGACACGCCTTTTTTCCTCCTTTGCAGGCTACCCAACAGATCTCCATAATATCTGCGCGGTACCATGGGTCTAGGATGAACCTCTAGCAGGCCCGAGAGCAGAAGGAAAAGACGGAGGGGGCCCTCGCCCGAGCTATGGAGGACGTAGCTGCCAGGGATTCTACCCTGGCGGGACAGGCTACCCAAATCGAACAACTCCTCAAGGATGCCGAGTCGGCTAAGGTTGGCGCTGAAAAGCTAAGTGCTGCCCTTGCCGATGCTGAGGGGAGGATCACCGAGCAGACGCGACGGCTCTCTGCGGCGGAGGAGAGGGCGGTTGGCTCGGAGGAAAGTTGTCTGGCTCTCACCCAGAAGCTGGACAGGATCAGAGCCGAGGCACTGAACAGAAAGTCGGAGGAGCAACTCCGGGAAAAGTTCGCCGATGACGTGCTCCCTGCTCTTGAGGAAAACAACAAGGAGTTCTTCAAGAAAGGGTGGGACGAGGCGCTTCAGTCTGCTGGAATCCCGTCAGACTCCCCGCTCTTCCAGATGCACAAGTACGTGCCCTCGGCAGAGATGGAACGGGCCGAAGCAGAGA